TATATATATATATATATATATATATATATATTCCCATTATTTATGACAATATTATATATACTATATTACAAAAAGAATAATTTTTAAAAATAAAATTTTTGTGAAAACGTTCATATTAATTGTTACAGATATTTAAAACATCATATTCAGCTTACAATACAAATATTACAGATATAACAAATGCAAGCAACATAAATCAAATAAAAATATAGAAGCTAAGCTGCTATAATATTTTCCAATAAACTAATTATAGTTAATAGAAATTATTTTAATTATCTATTTGTTATATAGTATTAATAAATAAATATATAATTGATTAATACATATTCTTTGTTGTTCATTAAATAATAATTTTTGTTTTTTATAATTTATAATTATACATTAAAATCTTCTATAGATATTTTAACAATGTAATTAGTAAAGAAATTTTATTTTTTTATTTAAAATATTTTTTCAAAGATATTTAATTTTCGATATATTTAGAAATTTTGACATATTTTTTTCATGCTTTGGATATACATATATATATATATATCTGAACGTTCTCTAAAAATAAGAAACAAAATGCATTTTTGCACAATATGATATTTTTCTGATTCATTCAGCGACTGAATGTATTGTATTATAACGTATACATTCGTTTTACCTATATGTAAATATTTAATGAGTTCTTTGAACCGCTTGTATCATGTCAGAATTATGAATAAATCAATAAGCGGCAGAACTAACGATGACAGAGAGGCGGAGTTGGCGACAGAAACAAATTCCATATTTTCTATGTAAGTATAGATCACATGCATCAAAATTTCATGGCGATACGCCATAATTCGTACTCTATCAAAACTTAGTTGTCTACAGGTTTTTCCTACATTTTTCTTTACATTTCAGTATATAACATCACATTTATAAGTCGGCATGTGAAAAAATTGTAAAAAAAGTACAGCTACGCATATGTACTATTTTATAAAAGTATTATTACGGATTGGGATATACTACTAACTTTGGTATATATCTAATTATTATAATAATATGTAGTTCTCTAAAGTTTTTCAAATTCTATGAGAAAAAAAGTTAAGTGAACAATGAATGCAGAAAGTATTATTGCATGTTTATAGATACTGTAAGATTGGTTGGAGTTTTGTAAAGTAGTTATAAAATAGCATACAAGATTTATAAGAAATTGATTGATATTTTTTATTCAAGTAAGTAATATGTGTTAAATGTTATTCTCCAAAGTTAATGAATATAATGCAATCCTTTACAATATGATATTTTGTTGTCTCTACAGTCAATATCTACTGAATTGTTTTATATGATTACATAAGAAATTTGAAATTTATGCTAGATAAATTATCAATCTATTGTTGCATATGGCATAAACTGCAAATGTTTTATATTTGCTATTATTATACATGTACATTTATTGATATTAAAATAGAAATAAAAGTAAAATCAAAACTGCACAGTAAAATGTGATTTTTCTATGTACGTTTAAAATTATGTAATTACATAATTGCTTTATCCTTTTTTAAGTGCAAATAGATTTAATTAGATCTAAAAAGCTTTAACTTTGTATATATTGTATGTTATCAACATATTTTTATAATTATAATTTTATTACAATTATTATATTTTATTACATATTTTTTTTACAATTATAATTATATTATAATTATATATATATCCGGTTTTTTGACGTCTTGCGTCGCCGTCTATCTCTACATATATCCGTAGTGCGCGTGTTGTTAATACGGATAAGACTTACAGTTTTACGTCGGTTTCAATACAGAGATCTTTTCTCGGCAGAGTTAAACCGGTGGCACATGATGCTTTTTTGGCTGCTGGATTGGTTGCATGCTCCTGTGCTGGCTATTTTACTGACTATTATGCTGGAAATTGTATAGCTATTATGCTATTGTTACGCTGGTTACGCTGGTCTGCTGGATTTTTATGATAGATTTGGTGCTATTTCTCTTGTGTGATCTTATGCTGGCTCACTTTGAAAATCAATCAAGACGCAGCTTTAGATCACATGATCAAAATATTCCCTTTGAATATTAAATATTCTATCATCTTCTGTTTGCTACAACTTGTCAAAGTAAAAATAAATATGACGAAAGAAAAATAAATAAATAAATATGTCAAATGCTTTTTATAAAATTCTAGCTACTCAGCCAGAAATTCAAGCCACGAAATTTCGCATCGTGTGAAGCTAAACTAGCAAGACAGTCAGCGCTGCCATCACGATAGCAAACATGCAAATCCAGTAAGAAATCTAGCAGTCAAAAAGCACCGTGTGCCGCTGGCTTTACTTATGTAACATATATTTTATTTTATTAGTTTCAACATGATTGAATTAAAAAAAGATACAACACACTTAATAGTTCAATTCATCACAGATAAAGAAACAGTAGAATTAGTACGATGGATAAAGTGGGATATTCTACTTCTATCTATCTATAGAAGCCGGTTTAAAATGTCTTTTGACGTTGTCCGATGCCTTCGGCTATTTCTGCATATATCCGCATGTGTTAACATGCATATATGAGACTCACAGTTTTACGTCGGTTCCGAACGGCCAATATTAAGGGAGGGAGGAGGGAGAATTACTCTAGGCGGTTTGCCAGATCTCCCTAGAGGAGTCCTTGTCGTTTATAAATATTGTCGGCCGAGATCAAGATTCAAACTCGGAACTTCTGACTTAGTCTCGCGTTAATTCACAACTCTATCTTTATTCACATGACGTTTGTATTATGATGATCAGGAACGTTA